CTCTCTCTCTCACACACACATTCTAATAAATAAAGGAGTGTGTGTGTGTGTGTGTGTGTGTGTGTGTGTGTGTGTGTGTGTTTGGCCACTTTACAACAATCTGACAGCTCTCAAAGTTAAAGAGTCTTTTAGGCCTAAGTTCCTACGCTTATAGGTCTGTACCCATGAAAGCCACAAACATATTTACATGCAAAAAGTTCTATATACATGTTTATAGCAAAATTTCTCATAATATTCTTAGCTGGTAAAATATGAAAATAAAAATATAAAATAATCATCAATGTTGAATGGATTCTTAAAATTCGATGTAACTCTACAATGGGATGGTTTTTGGCAATGATTAGAAATGAAGGCCAGGCAGTGGTGGCGCACACCTTTAATCCCAGCACTTGGGAGGCAGAGGCAGGCAGATTTCTGAGTTCAAGGCCAGCATGGTCTACAGAGTGAGTTCCAGAACAGCCAGGGCTACACTGCTCTGTCTCACAAAAACACAAAAACAAAAACAAACAAACAAAAAAAAGACATTTAGAAATGAAGACTTGGCATCCACACATGGATAAATTTAGATATCATGATATTACATAAAGGATGCCAGTCATTAAGGTCTACATGTTGTGATTCCATTTGTTCAAACTGTCCAAGAAATTCCCAAGGCAGTTCGGGGGCTTTCAGAACAGATGGCAAGGATCAGTGGACATGAGGGTTATCTTAAGGGCAACAAAAATTCCAAGACTGGTTTTGATGTTGGCTGCAGTTAGGGCTGTGTATATCGTGCAGATGAACATGGTGAACAGGTAAATGTGTTGCAGTAGATAGTGAGTATTTACTAAGAAGCAGTGAGTCGAAGGGACAGGAGGTAGGCTGGAGTATCTTGGTGGTACAGCACTTGTCCAGCAAATGCAAAGCCCTGGGTTTGATCCCCAGCAGAAGAAATAAAAAGAAAAAAAGTGGTGTAGGCCAAGTGCCTCCAATTCTTATTGCCCTGTTTGTGGCAGGGAGATACAGCTAAAGTCACCCTTCCTGGCTGTTTCTTAAAAGGTTTGCATGATCGACTTCCTTCCAGGTTTGCTTCATTAATGAGATGATAAGGCAGCAATACACTACTCTGAAAGAAAGTCACTTGTATCACTTTTTAGGAATGTCACGAGTGACTCATCAGACAGGATAAGGGATAATAACCCACAGTGATAAGACGCTTTCCAGCAGATGCAGAGGGAAAGGGGCCAGCAAGTCAGGGCTCACACAGCCAGCAGATTGGATTCCAAGAAAGGGAGAAAACTGGATATTTGCTGAGAGTTTTTCCTCAGAAAATACTTGAATTACCTCCCATCCTGCTGCACTTAGTTGTAGACTATAATGCATGTCCTAGGTGTCTGGTTGTTTCGTTTCCTTCCTTCCTTCCTTCCTTCCTTCCTTCCTTCCTTCCTTCCTTCCTTCCTTCCTTCCTTCCTTCCTTCCTTCCTGTACTGGAGATTGAACCTGGGCCCTCCTCTCACATGCTAATCCATACCACTGAGATACACACAAAGCATTCAACTTATTTAAGACGTTGCCCAGGCTGGCTTTGGACTTAGGAGCCTCCTGCCAAGTAGCTTGGAATGCAGTCTTATAATACCAGGTGCCAGCATTTTGTGTTTAGTTTCTGGTGTTGTTTTAGTTATCTTCCTCAATCTTTACAGAAACTCTCTCACTGAGATTGTGTGATCCTCATTTTACAGAAAAGGAATCAAGCTCTAATTCAAACAGAACCTGCCTTGAAAGAAATTCCCTCTAGACTACAGGCAGAGCAGGCAGTCAGTAGTGCCTACTGATGAACCAGGCCCTTTCTGCCACCACTCCCTTCCTTGTATAAGGCACAGCAGGATCGCTTGTGTAACTGCATGGGAGAACCCAGAGAAAAGGCTTCCAGTGGCTTTGAGCCCACCTCTCTAGCCTCAGGCCTCCCCTGGCAATTGGAAGGATTTGTGGTCTAAGTCCCTGAAGTCAGAGGTAGACAAAAATCCATTGTCACTCACCAGGACAGACACAAACCTCAAGATAATTTGTTTTCCAATGGTTTTGGCTTAAGGTTCTGGTTTGGCATTGGTTTTTTAACAACTAGCAGCTGTAGGTAATTTTCTCATACACAACAGAGACATCAATAAGCAGAGAGTGGAATTTTCTCCCTCTGAATGCAGAGAAGCAGTCTCCAAAATGTACACGGAGCTGCCACTGCCAGCTCCTGGGTAGGTCTCAATTCAGGAGTCAGACAGGACAAGCTGAAGGGAGCACAAATGCAGGATATGCAGGTATGTTAGCTCTCCAGGGGCGCCACAATCCTCAAGGCCTTCAGCTACCAGTGGTGCACCTCTCCTCAGAGATACCCTTTCGGTTGTAAAGCACTTTGAGCAGGAAATAAGGCCAAGCCATAAATGCACCATGACTGCCCTTCTCCACAGCCATCATAGCATATGATTCACAGCCTCTCCCTGGGAGAGGACTATGCATCCTCTGGCTATCTCAGTGACCTCAGCCTTGGCCATGTGACTAGCGGTGCCAACCCCTACAAATAAAGATACTTTCTTAGCCTGTGTTCTCAAACATGTCCATGTGATCTACTCTGGCAATGAGAAGTGGGCCCCAATAACATGCTACTTTCAAGCTAAGGCTTAGAGATTGCTGCTTCCTTTCAGGGAACAGAGCTGCAGCTGACCTGGGGAGAGCATGCAGCATTAGCACAGGGTGAAGCTTTGCTGTTGGGACCACGAAGGTTTCACTGCCACAGCAGAAGCCAGCTTGAGAGGCTGGACAGCTATCAGCACAACCTCCTGCCCCTCTTGCCAACCTTTAGTTCCAGTGACAGATCACTTGCTGAGAGTCTTCCCTGGCCATATTCCTCGTCACCTATTGTACAGCCTACAACAAGCACACACATGATCCCTGAGGAGGAACTTTGCTCTTCTGGTGATGTTAGACCCTCCTGATCCATCCGGCTATCAGCAACTGAAGGCCAAGTCTAACTTCCTTTGTGTGTGTACTTTGTTTTATTTCGTTTGAGACAGGGTTCATGTTTTCCAGGACGGCCTCACACTTGCTGTGGGACCTAGGATGACCTTGAATTTTCGATCCTTCTGAGTCGTCACGCCCTGTTTATGCAGTGCTGGGGACTGAATCCAGGTGTCATGGTTAATCTTCACTGTCAACTCATTAAAATTTACAGTCATCTTGGATACAAAGTATGTCTATAAGAGTATTCTCAGAAAGATTTAACTGAGCAGGCAAGACCCACCCTGAATGTAGGCAGCAGCGTTCCATGGGCTGGAGTCCTGGAGTGATTCAAAGGAGAAACATTTATCTCTGAACATCTCTGCTTCCTGACATCAGACACTCGTGACTAACTAGCAGTGCCACACCCCTGCTGCCATGCCTTCCTGTCACTGTGCACTGAAAGCCAAAGAGGCTCTTCCTCCCTTAAGGCCCTCAGGGTGGTCCCAGAGATGGGAAAACTCACACATCAGGGTCTCTGGAACGCTAGGCAGGAACCTACCAATTCTATATCCCTAGCGACATATGTGTGTATGTGCATGTGTATGCATATGTGTGTATGTGTGTGTGTGTGTGTGTGTGTGTGATCGTGAGTGTACTCATGTGCTCTTGTGCAGCCCAGGCTGGCCTTGAGTTCACTGTGGGACAGAAGATGACCTTGAATTCCCAGTCTTCCCACCTCATTTCTCAAATGCTGGGATTGCAAGCATGCCCTATAACAGCTGGTTATAGCTTTTTGATTTGAAACCTAAAATAAAGTTCTTCATAAAGTGGAAAAGGGAGAGTGAATATTCAATATCATAAAGTACAAACATGCAATCATAAGCTATCTCTTTTTATCCTAATCAACTCTGCTCAAAAATAGGCTCCTTTCTCCCCTTGGGGGACTAAACTGCAAACCTCAGCTCCGCAGACTCTCACGCTGGCTCCTTCTTCCTTTTCTGAATTCTTATCTGTAAAAGCTGGGCCAGCAGTATCAGTCCCCTGGCAGGCAGTAACACAGCCTACTCTCTGCTCTAAGAATCAAGCAAGAGGCCACACTCTCTAGCTCCTGCCACACAAGATACATGGTCCAGTGAGAACAAACTCTATTAGGAAATACCGGCCGTGAGGATACAACACTCCTGTGACTTCACAGAACACCTTGAAGAGTCGGGCACAAGATCCTACTGGCTGTGACCCATTCTGGCTTATGTATTGCATCAAACCTGAAAAGAGGTGTTTCCTGTATACTTTTCAGAAAATGGTCTCAGAAAAATCACATGACTTCCTATACACAAATAGAAAAACTCAGAGCAGTAAACTGAGGCAAAGCCCGGCAGATCTGTGCACTAGCTCTCTTTAAATTATGCCATAATGTCCTCTTGACGTGAAGGTGATGAGTTGGCTGGTCCCATCATCTCCTTTGAGGACAGTGGCCTCTCGGGTGTGATGGTATCTATAAAAACTTTCCCACAGCAGCTGTTATCCAATCCTATCATTAGTCTAAGTAATGACACTGTACTTAAGGACTAATGCCTTTCACGGAAGATCAAAGACAAGCTGGAAGCATGACTAGTTTTCAAATACCACTAACAATACGCATTGGGAGTGGTGTCGGGGGACTCTGGGGCATCCCAGAAGGTGTGAAGTAGAAGCAGAAGTTACTTACACATGTAAGTATGAGCCTGAGGAAGAGGAAGGATGAATTAGGAAGAGCAAGTTTGAATGCACTTCCTACCACTATCTGAACACCAAACACTGAGATCCCTCTGCCTACATGAGGGACCAACAAAATCCTTGGATGTAGTCATACAACCCTTTTTACACCGATGCCCCCCCCCACCTCTTCTTCATAGCTGAGTGAGGATGATGAGGATTCAGACACTGAAAGCCAACATTGGCAAACCAAGCCAGCCCACCCACCGCCTCTCCTTTCCTCCCCTGATCTATCAACCATTTTATCAACCATGAGAGCATGGACATCCGAGACTCACCACAAGTTCACTGAACATGACATCCAGTTCCTCCACAGGCGGCATGGGCAGCGATGGCTCCATTGTCTGAAGTGCAAAGTTGCTATCATTCCTAAGCCGATATGTGATTTCTGGGTGGTCGTTGTTTCGGAAACAGCAAAAGATAAATGAAATCCCCCGTCCGCCTCTCTTCCGTGGGGCCATGGTTGAATTCTCTATTTCTTGATATTACTACACTCTGTGAAAAGAAAACATGACATGGTTGAGTATGACCAGTAAAAATTTTGAAAAATCAAACCAGTACAAAGGAGAATTCCCTGTGCTTACAGCAATGTGTAGACCCTGCAGAAGAAAGGGGGTAGAGGGTGGCATCTAACTGGGCAGAGAACTCACGTCCTTCCAGTCACTTGTTGGATGCTTCCTTAGGCCACCTGTGTACCAATGCAGCTCCATCCACTGCACCCTACATCATGCTCTGACCTGTCCAGCCAATGGCCATTCTTTGTAGGAAACCCCTTTTCCTCAAGAATGGCTGTTTCTAAAGCTTTTCTTTGCCACAGACAGAAACCACTACAGAAAAGCCACAATCAACCAAAATGCAGAGCCCAGTCCCAAGGGACACATCAACAAAACACTCCCACACTTAAGGCTCAGGGACCATTGCAGAATAGGGACCAGGAAAATTTTAAGAGTCAGGGAATTGGGGACTTTGCTGTGATATTGTGTCTCCCAGAAACATCACAAGCTACACCCATAAAGTCTCACCAACAAGACTGCCCAGATGAGAGCAGAACAAGGAGGACACCAATGAACATGCCAAACTGGATGAGGGAAAGCCCCAAGGCCTCAGCTCGACACAGAGACATGATATGACACAGGTAACTGGGGAAAGCTGGGAGAGGGAGGGGTGGTCTTCCCAAAGAAGAGCTTATCTATTGGTTGCCTAGTTGACAAATGGTCAGCCCTGAAAACATGCTACATACGTACACATTAGGTTATATTCAGGAATATATGTGTATGAAAATAAATATATACATGCATATAATAACAATTGGTAAAAACAAAAAACAGATCATGAATTTGAAGGAGAGCAGAAGGGGTTTATGGGAGGTTTTGGAGGGAGGAAAAGGAAAGGAGAAAAGTGTAATTATACTACAATCTTAAAAATAAACATCAACTACAGAGGGTCGGGGACTCAAATTATTGTTGTTTTCCTTTGGTCTCTAGGAAATTATCCTTCTTTTTCAACTTAAAGCTTCATTTTTTTCTTTCATTTATTTACTTACTGAGGGGGAGGCACGTGTGTCACAGTGTATGTGTGGAGTCTAGGGACAATTTGGGGGAGTCAGCTCTGACCTCCACCATGCAGGTCCACAGCATCGAATTCAGGTCTTGGTGGCAGTTCTTGTCAGCACTCACGCATCCCTTACAGTCCTCTTCAAACTCTCCTTTGCCTCCTGTGGGCTGACTCAGTGTACTGAATAAATGCTCAGGCATTCACCTCTCTGTCCTAGCACGTGTTCAGGTCTAAGTTCTCTATGCCTGTGTCTTCCTGTTAGATAGTTATCACTATAACTCAAGCACATGACCTGACGTACTTTGTCTAGTGCCAGAAACAGAGGAGTCACTCTGTAAATGTTTATCATAATTGAAGTTAAAGTCAAATCAAGAACTATAGGATTAGGGTTTTTGAATCAGAGAGACAAAAGAGTCCACCAATAAAGGAAATATTGAAATTAATTGTGGCATGTTCACACACAACACAATATTATGAAGTCATTAGACAGAAGAAGACATCCAAATATGTAAGTTAAACAAAAAGCAAATCTCAAATGCCACATGAATACACACACTCTACACTACAGGGTTACAGGGTGTTTTCAGAAGATTTATGAATACATTCAAAGGTACTAACAGCCTCAAAAGTAAAAAGAGTTGGGGATCTCTGCCTTTCTATCTTGTACTCCTCTGAGTTTTTATCATAAAAGAATTTTTAAGGTGTTGAGTACTTTTTGAGTTACAACCATATTCTGTCTCAGAATTATTTCCAAGTCTAGCGAGAAAGCAAGTTAAAGAAAACCCTTGTCCCAAATGTTTACACAGCCACGTAGTTAAGAGCAGTCTCACTGACAGGAAAGCAAGGAGGCAGCTCAGTGAGTTCAGTGCTTCCCCTCACGAGCCTACCCCAAATTAGGAGCACAGGCCCATGTAAAATCAGCAGGGCAAATAGGTCCATAACCCAACGTGCCCTTCTCAGGAGGTGGGAAACAGACAGGAGAAGCTACACGCTCTCCGCTGGCTAACCTAGCATGCACAGCAGGAGACAGGAGACCTGTCTGAAGCAAGGTGATAAGAGTTGTGGACAGGTAACTTGCTGGAGACCCTATAAAGCAGAAGTTCTCGACTTTCCTAATGCTACCAACCCTTAATACAGTTTCTAACGTGGTGATCCCAAACCATAAACTCATTTTGTTCATAACTGCAATTTTGCTACTGTTATGAATCAAAATGTAAATATCTGATATGCAGGATATCTAATATGCAACCCCCAAAGGGGTGGTACAGCTGCTATAGAGAAAGCCAAGGCATTCCCAAGGGGAAGCAGCTGACTTCAGAGATGAAATGACACAGTACTGGCAAAGCAGTTTGTCCACCCACACAGATAACAGGCACTTCCTAAAAGACTAGAAAAGGCCCAAGGGGAAGGAAAAGCCTACCTCTGTCTATCCTCGATTGATCTCGGGGCTGATAATACAGAATAGGTTCAGAGTTGTGTTTCAATCCCAAGGTGGAATTGAAAGCCAACGGATCACAACTGTGAGAGACACAGGCAGCTCTCCCTGTGAGAGGGGATAAAGTCACTGGAAGGAGATCCTGGCTGGCTCTGCTGGCTTCAAATCAGGCTTTCCTCTTAGCAATGCCCAGGACAACATGATGCCATAACAAGATCATCTTATAAAACTTCTTACAGTTAAAACCACACTCAAGGTAGACAACCATCTCTGGAGCCTCTGTACTCTGCTCCATCTGCCTTTCCACCTTACCAGGGGTCACTGCACTAAACCACATGGTCAGCCTCAGGACACTGTACTCTGCTCCATCTGCCTTTCCACCTTACCAGGGGTTACTGCACTAAACCACATGGTCAGCCTCAGGACACTGGCACCAGTGATGTCTGGTGTGGCATGTTTAGGTTTACATCCATGCACAGCTGAATCCTCCTGAGAAAAGCACCAGCACTTTCTTGAAGAGGTCACCTCCGTAGTTAGTCTACAGCAGATATCTTTCCTATCCTATGCCCTGGGGGCGGGGAGGGGTGGGAGAGAGGAGAGAAGTTCCTCACAGCAGTTACCACTAGTTGGAATTATCTTTGTTATTTTATGAAGGAGGAGCCATGACAGTAAATACTTAAGGAATACTGAATTTTAATAGTCAAGCTCATTTTAACCGGTGCTACACCAAAAAGTTTAAAAACACTGGAAACAGGAAGATGAAAGTTGGGCTCTTAAGCTCTTAAGTTTGGCCTAAAGAACGTGTATTATATGGGACAGTTGTACTTAACAATACAAAAGAAACACAGGACACAGACTAGAAACAATTGTGTCAGCAATTAAAAATAGTTACCTCTGGAGAGATTTTTTTTCTTTGTTTTTCTCCTTAAGTTTTAAAAATAAAATTGCTTTAACATACAGCATCTTGCAAATCTGTAGATAGGACCACCAATTTTTTGGTTTTCTCATTAATATTTTGGATAAATGTTTTTATGAGTAACTAAGGCTTCCAAACACCTCTGGGGTCGAGCGTTCAGCTGTCTGATATACAGAAGTGTGCATGGTTTCTCAGCATCTGCAACTCCAAGTCCTTGGACCATGAAGGGAGGGAGGGATGCCTACAAGGTAACCATGTTGGCTCTGAAATAATAACTGAGCGGAGGCATCTAATATCTTATTGAACTGGAGCATGCATTCCTTGGTCTAAGGTAAGCATGTATAGTGCTACACAACACATATGCAGTGCTTGGGAGTCCTCTGACAAATGTTTGTCAGTGCCTGCTGTGCCCCATACACAGTGAACACCTAAGGCAGGGAGAATATGCAAACAGTTCTTGATGAATAGAAGGAAGGCAAAAGATCTGGGAAGCAGGGCAAGCAGGCAGAGAGGACAGCAAATGAAGAGAAAGGGGCAGGAGGTGTTAGGCAGGAATAGCCTGAAGCAGTCTATTACATCCTCAATTTCCCAAAGGCAGAGCCTGAAGCGCTCATTTCCGTGTTCAAAAATCTGCTAATGGCTCCTTCAGTACTATTCTAAATTGGCTTTCAGTGCTCCAAACCAGATTTCAGCCCAATTTCCCCATGTTTTCTATTTTGTTACTAATGCCCTACTTTATTTACAGGCCATTCTTCATGTGCCAAATATCTTGTACTCCTCTGGTTTCTACCTAGGTTGTCCCTTGTTCTTCATGACTTTTGTCAACATCCTCCCACCCTGTTCCGGAGCAATTAGGCAGTGAGACACAGCTGTGGCGGGCGGATGGCAGCTGGAATCTGGCTCAGCACATTTGAAAGCAACTCATCAAAGCCTTAAAACAGGTACACATTCTGACCTAGTATTTCTGCTTCTGGGAATATATTCTTAAATGTTCAGAGACACAATCAAAGATGTACACATACACATCAAACTATTATCTAAACGGCCAATAAACAGGAGCATACACTAAGTAATAATGATGAAAATCATGTAAAATATGTTATAACGGCAGGAAGATGGCGGGTCCCAGTAGCTCCTTTGAGAGAGCATGCTCAGTGACATGATCCTAACTGTAGGCTTGCAGTATCACATCTTTATTTTTAAAATCACATGGATGCGCATAAGTAGGATCAGAGAGATTTACTGAAACATGAGCAGCAGTTGACGCTGTGCTCTGTGGTATATGTAGTATGTCCCACAGAGCTACAATAAAGACATACTATTTTCACCATTAATGAAAAGAGATTTTTTTAAAAAAAAAATTGATACAATTATTTACTGGCTTTAGAAGAGGGACATGAGTATGGAAAAAAATGCCTGTTAAAAATAATAAAAACAGATGTGTCGGGTCCCAAGTTCCTTCCCCAGCACTTCTAAAAGAACCAAAAAGAAGAAAATAACCAAGGTATGATGATCCATAGCACTGGCTTGCCAGAACACCTGTGGGGAAGGACTAGCTATTTTCCCTGTAATCTGTTGCAAATGGCTCTT